GTCCCACAGAACCAGGGAACTTAGTTAAGGACCTCTACTGTGGCAAGTACCTAACATTAGCCTGTTCATTAGTTTTTTTAAAAAAAGATGGGGTCTCACTACATTGCCTAGGCTGGAGTGCAGTGGCTATTCACCAGCATGATCATAGTGATCCTGGGCTCAAGCAATCCTCCCACCTCAGTCTCCCCAATAGCTGGGACTACACACTTATGCCACCATGCCCAGCTGGTTTATTAATTTTTAACACAAGCCAGTAGCCTGAGGATTTTCTAAACCAAACCACTTTAGAATCAAGTTTATTTCTGGACAGTCTCCAAAGATTGGTGGATTTCATGGTTTCTCCAAAAATTTCAATGTATGAATGTAAGAACTTGACAGCCTGGTCAATCTAAGTCCCTAAGAATCTTTCTGATAAATGGAACCATAATTCTAGGGAGACTCTGAATTCGATCTGAATTTTAGTCTTCCAGAAAAGATGCCATATACTGGGCACAGATTCCCAGGTCACCAATGGGAATACTGTCACAGTAACAAAACAGATAATTTCTATCTCAAACTGTCTTATAGTGTATCTTTATAAACTTTACAAAAAACTTACCTTTTAATTTTAATATGCAATTAATTTTTCCTTAAATTGTATATCAATGAATAATTTACCTGTGTTTTCAAGACCTTTAAATCAGCTTTATAAGTGTACTCTTTAAAGGTAGTTTAATATTTAACATCTCTTTAAAAATAAAGGCTGTATGCAATCTAGACCAAAATTTATTTTTGCGGCACCTTATACCGATGACAATTTAAACGATCAAAACTACAGATTAATGTACAATGATTGGACGTATGTCGGTCATTTCCCCAGCATCCATGTTTCCTTTCTTCATTCCAAGAGCCCAGATTTCTTTGGGGGGATCCATATAGTTGGCAAGAAGCTGACTCACTTCTCTGGCCCCAGTGATTGATCAAGAAAGGGCATATAACTTCAGCCAATTCAACAGGAGTGACTCTCAGGACTAGTCTGACAACGCTGGGACACTAGTCTGACAACGCTGGGACACGTTTTCTCTTCCCTACTAGATGTGAACAATGTTTCAAGTGACCCAGGAGCTTTTGCCATTACTTTCAGTTCCTAGAACATTATTCATTCATTTGTTTATTCAACAAACATTTATGAACATCTACTGTGTGCCCAATGGGAAAATACAAAATTGAATAAGACATAGCCACTAACATTAAGATATTTATATTCTCCATGACTCTTTCTCTCTCTCTCTCTCTCTCTATAAATATATATATATACACACACATAAATATATATATAATCTATATATATATAACAGAGCCTTGCTCTGCTGCCCAGACTGGAGTGCAGTGGCACAATCGTAGCTTAGCCCTGAACTCCTGATCAGGGGATCCTCCTCCCTCAGCCTCCCAAGTAGCTGAGAGTGCAGGTGCACACCACTGTGCCTGGCTACTTTTTTTTTGTAGAGATGGGGTCACTATATTGCCCAGACTGGTCTCCAGCTCCTGGTCTCAAGCACTCAACCCACCTTGGCCCTCAAAGTGCTGGGATTGCAGGCATGAACCACCATGCCCAGTAAAATATTTATATTCTAATGGAGGATATAGGAGGGATCAAATATGTCAATATTCACAAAGACCAAGAGGACAAATTCTTGGAATGGATCAGACTGGTTGCTTCAAGTTATCATCTGAGGTAGAAGCAGAGGTATCTGGGCATCCTTTCTATGGAGCTAATACCATTAAGTATAGCAGTTGGCCCTGAACCATCAATGCAATAACCCAGTTGCAAAATGGAGGGATGAGGTCTCCTTGATCAATAGTTTTACTTGTGATCACTATCTTATTCCAAAGTACAACCTTAACTTGAAACCAGTTTTCTGGTTACCTACTAATACTTGGACAATAATACCAAGTATATTATGATATAGCATGGTATGTGAATAATACTATCTTTCATTATTAAAGAGGCAAATACAACAGCATATTGAATGTGCATTATCATCTAGGGATGGCCAGGTACAGTGGCTCATGTCTATAATCCTAGCATTTTTTGGGAATCTGGGGCAGGAAGATTTCTTGAGGTTGGGAGTTCAAGACCAACAAGAACGAGACCCTACTTCTACAAAAAGTAGAAAAATTAGCTGGGTGGGGTTGTGCACCTGGTGTACCTGTAGTGCCAGCTACTTGGGAGGCTGAGGCAGGAGGATTGCCTGAGACCAGGAGTTTGAGGTTGCAATGAGCTATGATGACTGCACTCTAGCCCAGGTGCCAGACTGAGACCTTGTCTCAAAAAAAAAAAAAAAAAATCTACAGACAAGGGACAATAGTACTTTGTGCCCCTAAAGACATTTTTGATGGGATATATCCCTCTACAAAAGATTTGGATACAAACCACACTCATTATTATCCCAATAACACTATCTGATTTGATTTTGCAGGGCATATATATCAGATAATCTAGCCCAAGTATTTCTCCACAGCTAGGGTGGGTAAGAGAAATATCTTCCTAGGGAATCTTATTAGAATAATCAGAGTAATTTTTCCCAAAAAAACATACCCACATCTCACCCTGGGACTTCCATCTAGGCCCCTCCCTTAAAAGCACTGCAGTAGTGCTTTTTCACTCTTACTGAGCATGTTCTCTCACTTGTGATAGGGTGGAAAAAACACTGAGGCCTGGTCTAATGAGTTGCAGTGTGGAGAGAAGGCCTTGAAACTGTGCACTGGGGAATAAACAGTAACTTACCCAGCTGATGGATGATAACTAGAATCATTAAACAATAGTATATGTCATTTATGTGTATGAGCTTTGATCATTTAATGTTCTAATGCTGGCCAATGCTAGAAGGACAAAAGTCATCATTACCGATCACAAATTTGAATTCTGGTGTAAAATGTATGCATCAAGTGTTATGGAGAGTTCATACCAAATGGCTTCTTCTTGCTAAGGAAAATGACCTTTTGCCTGGGTTACATATGAAAATCAACTTGGAAATAAAGCATCTGCTCACTACACAAACATCCAGATCTATACAGGTGACTCATTATGAACCTGTGAATATCTAGCAAGATTAATATTATTATTAGTTGCCTAAAGTCTTTCACCCTACACTTTAGAATAGTGGGACTACAAGATGAGACAGTAGTCCTAGGCAGTTGAGGGTGACAGCTAAAAGGGGCAAGGATTGTAAAAAGTCCTTAGAAAGTTTTCCCCTGATTGTAAACTACATCCAAAGAATACAAGGAAATAGCAAATTACATGAAAGAATGACTTCCATATATTTTGCTAACCTCCAATGTGTTGAAAATAAAATTCTCCCTCTTCCAGTTTTATTGCTGAAACTGATTTAGGCTTCAATGCAACCTTTTCCTAAACTACAAATGAGCTTCTTGGGATACAAAGTTGTGAGATGGACAAAGTTCCAACACTTTGGGAAAGAGTTACAATGTAGTTCTTATTGCCTTACATAGTCCTAGTCCTACTACAAGATGTAGTAGGACTTCTAAATTTAAAACGTTAAGAATTTTTTAAAAAAAACTTTTTTTTTTATTAATCCTCAAAAGAGCTCCCTGAATTTTAAAAACGTGGACTATGTCGCTAAAACAGCAACAGTGTGACAGATAGACATTTTGGAAGTCTTTAAATGTTAAAAATGTGACAGAAATTTTTTTAAAAACTTTAAAGCCTGTGAAGGTGGTAGCTTATTAAATTCCTCCAGTCACAGGAAATTCACACCAGCACAAGGATTCAAAATGTTTGTGTCAGACACCAAAACGTTACTTAGCAAAGACACGATGCCCAAACGAAGGAAGCTTTGGGGGGGGGGGCTGCTTTTCCTAAACTGTTGAGGAAGTAAAAGAGCGTTACAGACCAGAACCAACCGTTAGGCTGGGGCGTCCCCTGGGCCCGGGCGGCCTCTGCGCACCTCCGCGCCGCGCGTCCCCACCTGCACTCGGGGCCGCCGGCCCGCGCGGGCGCCCGCCCGGGCCCCCAACCACCGCCGCAACCCTGCGTGGCGACCCGCGTCCCTCCTCTGCCGCAGAGTCAACCGCTCCTTGCAGTCTCACGAGGTGGATTATCCCACCGCCGACTTTCAGACAGCCCGCCAGGCGCTGGAGGACGTGCAGGAGGTCGTCCGGGGTTCGCGCGCTCACTTCGCACAAGTCCCGGCTCTGGGGCCGCGTTCAACCGGGCGGCGCCGACGGAGGCGGGCGGCAGCCGGCGCCAGGTGGCGAAGCACAGAGGAGCCACTGGGCAAAAGAGGAGCCAGGGCCTTTGGGAAAGGTGAAATCGCCCACTTCCTTCCTCTCACGTAGGCCTCGCACGATCTTCGCCGCGCCCCAGCACACCTAGCCGCGGCCACACCGTCCCAGCCCGCGTCCAACCCCACGCCGGGAACGACCGGGCTTTAGGACCGCACGGTGGCCGCCGAAGGGAGGTGGCCCGGCAGCGGTTGGGCGTGGCTTCTCGGAGAAAGGCAGCCCCCGAGGGCGGGGAGAGCTACGTAACCGTCGGCTGGGAGCGCTGATTGGCTGGGCTGAGGTGCGCGGATCCCGCAAGCGTCTCCGCCCGGGCCGGCCGCTCCCCCTCCTCGCCCGGCCGCTCCGTCCGCACCGGCTCGAGAGGGAACCGCTCAGGCACTGCCGCCCCACTCAGTGCGGACGACGGAGAGAGGGAGGCGGAAGGAGGACACCCTCGCTCGCTTGCTCCCACCCGCAACCAGGCTCCCAGAGACGGCGCGGAGCCCAGGGGGCGGAGCCGCCGCGGGCACGCCCCGCCTCCGGCCCGGGAAGACGACGCCAGCGACCCCGCCGGCCAGCCACCGCCCCCCTCGCCGGCCGAGACCCGCCCCCGGCCCTCCCCCGGTGGCATGGAGGGGCCCCGCTCCTGACGGCCGCGCCGCCGCCGCGTCCCGCGCCCCACCTCGCGGCCCCTCCCGCCCGCCCCCGCTCGCATGTCCGCGCCGCCCTAGCCGAGGATGCTGAGGATGAAGCTGCCGCTGAAGCCGAGCACCGCGAGACCGCGCGAGCGAGAGAGCAGGAGGCGACGCGCGGCCGGGCGCTAAGGCGCCGCCGCGCCGCCGCGCGACTGCCGCCCCGCGCCGCCGCCGCCGGCCCGCGCGGGCCCTGCCGCGCCGCCGCGCCCGCCGCCGCGGCTCGGGCCGCCTGTTGCTGGCGGAGCGGCGGCGGGGGCGGGCATGCCGGGCGGCGGCGGGGGGCCCTCGGCGGCGCTGCGGGAGCAGGAGCGGGTGTATGAGTGGTTCGGGCTGGTGCTGGGCTCGGCGCAGCGCCTGGAATTCATGTGTGGGCTGCTGGACCTGTGCAACCCGCTGGAGCTGCGCTTCCTCGGCTCGTGCCTGGAGGACCTGGCGCGCAAGGACTACCATTACCTGCGCGACTCGGAGGCCAAGGCCAACGGCCTCTCGGACCCGGGGCCGCTGGCCGACTTCCGAGAGCCGGCCGTGCGCTCGCGCCTCATCGTCTACCTGGCGTTGCTGGGCTCGGAGAACCGAGAGGCCGCCGGCCGCCTGCACCGCCTCCTGCCCCAGGTGGACTCGGTGCTCAAAAGCCTGCGCGCGGCCCGGGGCGAGGGCTCACGGGGCGGCGCGGAGGGCGAGGACGGCGACGGCGAGCAGGACGCCGAGAAGGACTGCTCCGGCGCGGAAGGTAGCGGCACCGAGCCTCGGGCCGGTAGCGGACTCGGCTTCAGGGCCCAAGAGGAACTGCTGCTGCTCTTCACCATGGCCTCGCTGCACCCGGCTTTCTCCTTCCACCAGCGGGTCACCCTGAGGGAGCACCTGGAGAGGCTCCGCACCGCGCTCCGCGGGGGCCCAGAGGACGCAGAGGTGGAGGTGGAACCCTGCAAGTTTGCCGGCTCTAGGGCCCAGGTAAGGCGCGCGGAGCCTCGCAAGACTCGTGGTGCGGTCACCGCCCCAGTGAGCTCCTCGGTCTCGCTCCTGGACGCCCCTTGACCGAGCCCCAGCCCGGCGCAGGTGGCTCGGAATCCCCCCTTCTGCCGCGGCTCCCAACCCAGGAGTACTCCTCGTTTTGCTGGGCCGCTCAGTTCCATTGCCCCAGCCCCCACCTCATACACACGCAGCCACCCGCCATAACAGAATGCTCTGGAAGTCTCTTCCGTGGCATGGAGCTCCTAGCCCGGGATTCCTCTTGGATGAAGAGTCTCGGGACATTTTTGGCTTTGAGGCATTTCTCAGCACTAGGTGCGGGGCTGGGGGAGCGAAGCGCTAGAGGAACCTGTCTGTTAGTCGCGGTCAAGCCTAGGGCCGCGCCGTCCCTTTCTGGCGGACTGGCGCTGTGCTAACACGTCGCAGAGCTCTACCTTCCCGAGAGGTGTCCTAAAGGTGTGCTCCCGGCGTGCTGCCCTAGTCTCTGGCTCAGAGGGACTTTTTTGCTCAGTGTGTGCCTGAGCTCAGAGGGGTCGTATCAGTCTTTTGGCCCCTGCTCAGAAAGCTGGGTGTTCCCAGAAGAAATGTGATTTGGAGACTTGCAACTTGACTGGGATAAGTAGTAACGCAGGTTGTCTGGGTAAAGAGACCTCTCCTATGGCGGCCTGGTTATGCCCTTTACCTCTGACACACTCAGCTTTCTAACGGATTTGGGTCCGGGATATTTATTGGGCCTTTATACATTAATGTTGTCTAAAAGAGTTGTTTAAACACCAAAATGTAGTAGATGAGAATCCAGATGAGCCACTTGTCGCAAACGTTAAAGATGAATTTTTATACAGCTATGAAAGCAATTTAATAATTTAGGCCCAATAAAGTCTTTGAGGAGAGCTTGTTAATGGAGGAGGTGGAGTATGGTTCAGTTAGAGTTAAAACTATGTACAATAAGATTATTTTTGTGGATCACAGTCTTTTGAAAGATATTGATTTGGATTTCATGCTTTTCAATTTTGGTGATCTCCAGGATGATATAGTGGAAAAGGGGATTTTCCCCCTCCTTGCTTGAAAGTTAATTCAGCTTGCATATCTGCTGTCATTCAGTACTAGAACGAAAATTGGGCATTGTATTTCACTAATGGCTGTGTGGACTCACCATGGAATCAAGGAATTGGGAGCGCTGGAAGGAATTTAGAGATAATCTGGGCTGAAACCTTTTTAAAACGAGGCTTCCGTGAAGAGTCTTATGTTTTAGGACGTGTTTTATAGAACTCAGATGTAATGCTGTAGTACCCATTATTTCCTTAGTGAGTTTGAAATTTTATTATCCTCCAGTACCTATTTACTATTAGCATGTAAGTGTGTGGAGTGATATCAGGTGGAAGCCCTTCCCACCCTTCAGCCTACTCATTAAAATATTTCCCACAAGTCCTATATGCTGCACAGCCATTAAATTGAGAGAAGAAAGCACAAATTCAGGAACAATGTTTAAATATTTTTAAAAGTGTTCCTATAATAGTAGTATATGTTATAAAGATAATCTTAAATTGTAGGTCTAAAGGAAATGCCCTACAATGGAACAGCTTATATCATTCCATTCATATTCCAACAAGGATACCCAATTTCTGATTTTAACTGCTGCGAGTCTTTTTTCCTTTTTCTTTTTGTAAATTTTGCGTTTAATGGGAGTGTTGAAAGGCAGCTAGATGAAGGGGAGGGATGCGTGCAAACCAGAGCAAAGAGATTTTTATCTTGACTGCAGTGCGTGGCCTTTTCTGGCCAACAGCGAGTGTTGGGAGGAGTGGACAGAGTGAGGTTGGGCATCTTGCCATTGATTTCAGCACGTCATTACTTCTCAGGAAGTGCCCTGTGCTGTGGCCATCTCTCAAAATGGGCAAATAAGTCATAGGGGGTATGCGGACTACAGGTGACACTGAAGGCTATTTCTAGACACTTGGTGTGGGGAAGTAGTAGTTTTTTTTCTCCAGTAGTAGTTTAGGGTTACCATAACATTTACGTCTCATTAAATTGTTATGACCTCACATTTTCTGCTTATTGGAGTGGCCTCTGAGTCCCCCGCTGTGGCTTGTTCTGGCCTGAAGACATTAGCGGGTCTGGTTGCTCCCGGGCTGTCAGTCCAGAGGCCGCTGAAGCGTGTGGGCCGATTTAAATCCTGATTCGCTGCAGTCCAACCCAGCTGTTCCTCGGCCTTCCGCGGCTGAGGTGCATCCGGGCAGGGAGTGCCCTCCTCCGAGTCTCCGAGGAGGAGCCCGGAGCTCGCGCGTCCCTCGCGTGGAGGCGCCGCGGCCCGCCTGAGAGCCCGGGTGGTCACGCGCCGCCGCGGCGGGGCAGACGGCGTTGCGGGCCGGTCCCGCGGGGCTCCTCCCCTCCCCCGCCCTGCAAGATGGCGGCCCCGCTCGCCGCCCACGTGACTGGCGCGCCGGCCCCGCCCCCGGAGGGCGCCCCCGGAGCTTCAGCGGGAGGAGGCGCGGGCGCCGGGCTAGCGTTGGAGAGTTAGGGCCGGAGCCGAGGACCACGTGGATTGTGCATTCTGGGGGTGCTTGGCCGTGACGGCAACCCTGGGAAAGGGGAAATTCGCGTGGTTGCATTTTATTGCCCCGGAAGTAACCTTTTAGATCCAGTATGCAACTTATTAATTGCTTAGGAGTCATTCTTTTTCTTGCTACTGTCTAAATGAAGCTTTGTGATGCTCCCTCGTATTTTCATTCATATTAAGTGAATAACGTGGAACTAATTTCCTTTTAATTTTCCTTTCTATTAAAACGAGTATCCTAGCCGAGAATAGTGTTGCTGGCTCTCACAAGACTTGTACCCAGTGCCCAGTAGGAATCAGCCTCTTTGGGAAAAGAAAATTAAACTAATGACGTTTACAGGTAGAACATGTGCTTAAATGCCAATTTTACATTAATTATATGTCTTGACGTTGACCAGGTGCAACAACTATGAGTGATATACTATAGTTAATGTTAATAGTTAAAGTGACAGGTCCACAAATTGCCACTAAAATATACATAGTAGGTCTCATTGGAAAAACGAAGATTCAACAAGTAGGTTTTTTCTTTTAGAAGTAACATTTCCAGAGTTTTTCTTTGTGACTTGAATGATTTTATAGTAAATGTTACATTGAGTTACAACTTGAATGTTGGCATTCAAAGTTTTAGGAGGCTTGTGCATAAATCTCACAGGAGCTACCAAGTAATTTGCATACAATTCAACAAATAGGATAGTAAATGAAAGCACTCATTAACAGTGTCCTAGGAAATGTGTGTGATTGATGTAGCTCTGTGTTACAAAGTTACAGACTGCATATATGGCAGAGCTGAAAACACCTGGTTTTAAAAATGGATCTTTTCCTATTATTAGGAAACCAAACTATAAATTGTGTGTTAGCAACAAAAAAACTGTAGAAGTATTTTTAAGTGATGCTAGTTTTTTTGCTGTTTCATTGAAAAGCCTAGCAGAAGCAAGACAGGCAAGCTTCCTATGTGTGCAGGCCTAAAGACATTTTTTAACTGTTCATGAAAATGGATATTCTAATTTTGGAAGTTTAACCCCCAAATACTAACACAAAGGTGTAAGAAGCAAAAAAATGCATAGACTATCATAGTAGTCATTAGTGGTTTATATTGTTGGTATGGCCATTCTGTGTTGTTTTCTTTGTGTTTTCAGGATCCTCAAAGTTTAGTTCCTTGTCAAATAATGTTTGAATGAAATAAAATGTAAACTTTTCATACTAAGACACACACAGTCATCTTGTGTCTTACAGTGTCATTTGAACTCTCAAAACATATTTGAACTCGGTACCATTTGAACTCACAAAAATTAAGTGGCCAGGTCCTTATTAAAATTAGTTGTTAGTAAAAAATAAAAAAAGGAAAAGAAACCTTGTCAAATTGTTACTGTTTCATAGCTAAGGTTAGTTAGCTATATTGTACTTGAGAGACCAAATACTTTGACTCATTTTCAAATACAGATACTGTATTGGTGGTATTTTCAAGGAGTTTTAATATAAATGATGCTATTTCAAGATAACTTAAACGTGTGTGTGGCAACCAGAATCCTAGTGAGAGATTAGGGTTAACTGACTTAAAATGACTTAAAATGAGAGGGAAAAGATTGGTTGTCAGGATTTCAGTTCTTGTATTAGGCACTAAAAAGACGCTTTTAAAAAATGACTTTAAAAAAGAACAGTTCTAATGCTCACTGATAATAAATGTTTATTTAATTTATTGGGATAATTGATATTTTGAAGTGAATAGTGTCATTGGGCAGTGGGTGCTGCCTGAGGCTTTCCTCACTTTAAAGGTTAGAGTTGATAATACTTAACGCCTTGTTGGGAATGTTAGAATTTAGTGAAGGAGTACTCATAGAATAAGTGCCTGATGAATGGTCTTCAATAAATGTTAGCAATTATGGGTAAAAGTTCAGCCTTGAGTGGAAGAAGGTGGTGGTATATGAGTGGTTACAGCATGTCACAGATTAAGAATGGGGAGCAGAGGTAGCAGTTTTTCTCGGGAAGTTTTAGATTGGCTTGACTGCAGCAAAAATTAAAAGCAGTTCAGTTATAAAAAGCCTTTTGGAAGAGACTTTTTCAGCTATCAGAGTTAAGTAGTGATTGTTTTAGTAGCAAATAATCACTAAAATATTGAGTATCCTTCCCTAGTTATATTTTTCTGTGTAGTGGTTTTCTCAGGTAAGAACTTGGAAAAAGTCTCATTTATACCACAGTAGAAAGAGGGGAGTGGGTGTTAGATGTGGAGAGGAAACCCGTTCTTTTCCTCAAGTTAACTAAAATCTGTGTCTGTACATACAGTTGGCCCTCTGTGTCCGTGGGTTCTGCATCCGTGGATTCAATCAACCTTGGATCAAAAATATTTGGAAAAAAAATTGTGCTGAACATACAGAGACTTTTTTTGTCAATATTCCCTAAACAGTACAGTATAATATAGCATTTACATTTTATT